CTTTTTGCCCTGTTTGGCTTTTCTTTCACCACTTGCAATCAGAGAAATCAAATTTCCTGCTCTGAGGTTTCCTTCATGTTTTGTGTGTGTGTGTGTGTGTGTGGGGGGGGGGGGGGGGGGGGTAAACCAGGCTGATATTAATGTCCTTTTATGAATCCTGAAGTTTTTTAGTTTGTTTGTACAGTGATCACAGAAAGTCTTGGGGTGCTTGTATTGGTTTTATAAAAATATCACTTTATTCACTTGTTTACAAAAATATATATTACAGTAGGAAACAACCAGTAGTTTTAAGTAAAATGTGTATTTCAACTAGTAATAAACTGAAACCCAAATTATAGTTCTAAAAGAGCTAAGTTAAAACGTTCACTGACAGGCAGCCTCATTGGCTGCTTTTTAATAAGTAACACCTCTGCAATAACACCGAACACAAACACTGTTTACTGTCCCTTTGGGAGCCTGTGACTACAATTGTGATTAATAGCAAAATGGCAAGAACAGAACTGAGTGAGTCAGTCAAAAACATTATGACACTTAATAAAAAGAAAATGTCTGCGGAAGATATGTGCAGGTATGATAAACATTGCTTGTCAGTGGACTTCTTTATTAAACCAATGACTCTGCAAGATTTTTACAGAACTACTCAAACATCCCAAGGCTTTCTGTGAGCACTGTATATATGTATATATATATTTTTCCCCCAGAAGTTCAGTTAGCTGATTAGGTGTGGGAATTGGGCATTACCCTGACACTTGATTCTGAGTGTATTCTGGCAATGGGAATCCCTCACGCCTTCTCTACGTGCGAAGGTGTTCTTTGGGTCACTCAAAGCAGGGCCAGGTATATACCCCCACCACAACCCCCCCTCGTGTGTACATGCCCCCTTGCTGTACTCCTCTGGCTGATCTTGTAACGCTGAGCTCCTGTAATCCCTCCGGAAAATCGGAAGGGTCCCGTAAGGAGCATTGGCTGTCAGGCCGTTAAGGCCTCCGCCCCCCCCCAGAGCCTTCATCCTCTACCCTCACGCAGCCTGTACCCCCACTGCAGGACTGGGGTCACGATAAGCAGCAAAAAAAGAGGGGGGGGCGAGAGGGTTAGCAGTGAGATAAAGCGAGACTGAAGGTTTGCCGGTTCTAAGAGCCGGTAGTGAAAACGGCCAGATGAGCCGTCGTTTACACCGAGAGACCCGGAAGGCTGTGGAACATTCAGGGCCAGGGTGGGGCAGTGAGGGTTTGGCAGGGCAGCCATGTGGCCCCTTTGTTTCAGAATCACGGCACGACGTCTGCGAAGGTCATGAGGCATCTAATCTGCTAAGAAATATGGGGAAACGTCCTACTTTGACCCAGTCTTGGGGGGCGGGAGTGCACAGTCAGACTCATAAGAGAGATGTTCATAAGAGAGAGCATGTTGTTATATAACACATATAGTAGCAGTCTGAGGATTTTAATTTCTTCTAGAATATTCTGTAAACTTTGCGTCGGGTTTCTGATATTGTTGTTAGAACCGCTTGAGAACTGACTGCGTCCTCTGTAGGAAAAGGTTTAAGACGGCAGCCCAGTTCAGCCGCTTCCTCCCAGTCTCCCTCACCACAGCAGTCCATACGCTGCTCTGCCTGTAAGGATATGAACCTGCAGGAAATGGATTGTTGCTTGAAGTGTCTGCTTGGTTCACTTACGGTGACATTGCTTCCCTTCACCCGTAAAAGATCTCTATCTATCAACTAGTTAAAAACAAGCTACTGGGTGTTTTTTCTTTTTTTCTTTTTTTCTTTTCCTCCACAGGTAGGTAGGTATAGTCTGTCCGTGTGTTTCACCGCTTAGGCTAGTGCCTGTTTGCTGGCATCGGCTGATGTACCCCACCCCCCCGCCATCTCCGGCTCGGGCTGCTCTCCGCACCAGAATGCAGTTGCTTGGTTACGTAGAGCCCAGATTGCAGAATGGGGTTCTACAGCGTTCCCGTGCTGCTTCTCTGCTTAAGTCCTCACCTCTTATTGTTCATTGGGCTGGTGTAGGGTGGTTATGAAATCATACCATGCAAAAATGTCCTTTTCTGAAAGTTTACAGTATTCATCTTGAAATGCATTGTGACTCATCGCTTAAGGTTCACCTCTCCTTCCATGTGCTTGGGGTCTTTAACCCTAGTTATCTCATAATTGTATTCGGTAATAATGACCTTTATAAAGTATAAATGAGCGCAGAAAACCACTTAACATAAACTGGCAGTTGGACAGAGGGTCCTAATTGGGGCTGCGCAGTATCACATCGCGATTGTATGCCGCAAGCACAATAATCACCAGGGCTTTTCGATACTATATAATGTTAGATTGTGACGCCCAAAAGTTACTGATGTCCTGTAGTTCCTGCATCCTGGGTGTTCAGGTCACTGGGGTGTTTGATCGCCGCCTGCTGACCTCCAACTTCTGTGTCATGATACCGTGTTGTCAGCTTGCCCCCCCCCCCCCCCCCCTCACCCCCCCCCCCCCCCCCCCCCCCCCCCAATAGCTCTGTGCCCTGTGATCACCTGATGTGTCCATGTGGATGGACACACCAGGTTAGCATGTGGATGGACACACCAGGTTAGCATGTGGATCTCAGCCCAAGCTAACCGCTCCTCTCCTCCCGTTTCCCTGGTTACGGCAGGAGCATGGCGGCCTCCTGCGCATTTTCCCGGAGGGCAAAGCGCAGTTCGCCGACATCGAGCCCAAGTTTGACCGGCTGCTGTTTTTCTGGTCAGACCGGCGAAACCCCCACGAAGTGCAGCCTGCGTACGCAACCAGGTGAGCCCCCACCTACCCCCCCCCCCACAACTCTCACACCTGCCGATCAGTCTGAAGGTTACAGCGCCACATGCCTGCCAAGGGTGGTATTGTGTGTGACAGTCCTATAATCAGGATTTACATCCTTATACTGTCATCAGGAAATTTCTGTTAGTTATCATGGATAGACGTTAACGCTGAGTACATCCATGCATTTTACCTAACTGCTTATACAGCACCAGGCCTTGGTCAGCCTGGATCTAGTCCTAGGTAGTGTATCCTGAATGTACACATACACGCTCACTCACCATATGGTGACCAAAGGGAATACTTTTTGGGGTGGCGGGTGGCTCAGCAGACTGCTGTGTCCATGATCAGAAGGTCACCGGTTCGAATCCTAAGTCAAAAGAGTGATTTCACTGTTGGGTAATGATGGCCAAATGAAGCTTCATGATTCATTTTCTATATTTTTAGACCCCACTAGATGGGGATTGTGGTTTGCTTTGGGCCAGGCTTTGAGCCCTTTTTTTGAATAGAGAGCACCATCTAGTGGTGTCAGAAAATACAGCAATTGGTTCATGAAGCTTTATTTGGTCATCGCCACCATTAGGCCCTGGAGCAAGGCCCCCCCCCATTGTTCCAGAGACTGCTTCAACCTACTTTTAGTTGTGTGCTGCATTAGATTAAAGTGTCTGCTAATTTAATTGCACTTTTAGGAGTGGGAAAAAATCTGTGAGCATGCAAACTGCACATGCACAGAGTCTGGTGAGAACTAAACCCACAGGCCAGGTGTTGCAGGAGGCTGCATTCCCACCCCCCCCCCAAATCACCATGCCACCCCCTGGTCCAGCACATTCATATGAATTACCTTCAAGGCTTCTCGCTTCTCATTACACCGCCCTGCACAGTGACGATCCGGTCAGCGCGATGCCATTTTGCTCATGTTCTTTAGCTTCTCTGGTGACTGGTCCGCCCCCCCCCCCCCCCCCCACACTTTCCACCCAACTTTGTACTAGTCTGAGTCGTTGTTAAAGTTAAATTTTTTTTTTTTTTTAGTTTCTATTTTTATATTTTCTAATTTGAAATCCAGTTTAGATGTACTTAGTTTTCAGTGTAATCGTATTCATTTTTGTTTTAAAGATGTATTTCTGTTTAGTTTATATACATTTTTTAGTTTCAGTTTTAGTAATTTTATTTCTAAGGATATATTGAGCTGTTTTATGTGTCTGGTCTTTAGGGAATCCCTCATGAATACACAGTGTACTTTACATAACCGTGTCCTCAGAATGGGAAAAACATGTTACAAGTATTATTGCTGTTTAAAGGCAATATACAGGATTAAGTTTTCTTGAATGGGTTCCAACAAGGAGGTAAGATGAACAAATCATTACTTTAGCTAAATAGTAGTAAAACTGCAAGTATTTGACATTTGTTTTATTTTATTTCACTTAGTCTTGCGAGCAATATTTATAGCTTTCGTTCAGTTATGGTTTATTTAACTTTCGTATCCTATTGCATTTCCATTTACGAAAACGTTTTCTCATACGTTTTGTCTCCATTAATGACAATAACCCTGCACTGAGCTGACGGGCTCTCTCTCCTCTCCTCTCCTCGTACAGGTACGCCATAACGGTGTGGTATTTTGACGCCGACGAACGGGCGCGAGCGAAGGAGAAGTACCTGACAGGTATCCAACTTTAAGGTTTAAGTTATACTGTCTCGCGTCTCAGAGGAACAGAGCGAAATTCTTGTGCCACAGCTGCATACGCCAGATGGCAGCAAGACGAGACAATATAGGACTTACAAGCCAGCGGAAGCCCCTGTGCCAGGACCATAATTCCGGGTCCTCATTACAAAGTCAACTTGGGCCCCTCTTGCCCAGTTTTACATATAATTTTAGGCATCCAGGGGCCCCAGTAAGTTCCGGGTCTCCTGAATCTGCCAAGGTTTCCCATCCAATGCCCCGGATCTGCACACACCTTGGCTTTTAAAAGGGGATTCGCCTTCAGTTATGTCTTCAGGTCTGAAATCAGGGTCACGGTATCTCCTGTCAAACGTCACTGGGCCGGATGAGTTTCTACAAGAGTCTTGGTGGCTGATGAACGCGCCACATATGCTGCTGCATTTTCTAATGCTCATTCTCTGGTTAGCCGCCCGCGGCTACGTGTTGGTGTGGCTTGAAGCCCAATGGACCAGAGGGTTTAATAGTGCGTCTCCCTGACCCAGGTGCAGGAGAAAAGGGCGTGAAAGTGGAGCTGAAACCCTCAGAGCCCAGCGACTAGAGAGCCCCAGCGACTAGGGAGCCCAAGCGTCGGCGCCAAGGGAAACGGGAAGAAGGATCCAGAAAGGGGGCCGGATTTTAAAATGGAGGGCATCTCGCCTCAGCTTTTCCTCCCCTCTTTCCTGCAGAGCGCGGCCGGATCAGCTGACATGGAACGTGGCACCGTCAAGCTGCGAAGACTCCCGTATTCCACTTGCGTTCTTTCAGCTTTCATGTGAAGAATTCAGTTATTTAAAAAAAGCATAATAGTCACTTGGTGCAAGAAAGCGAAATGTTAAATTTGTTGCCAGCGAAAAGAGCGTGATTAGTGCCACCAGATAGCTTTCGGCTGTGTCTTTGGTTTCCCGTTAAACTTTTAACGGAAGGTACACTAAGATGTGTGAACATGATGCTGACTCTTGCGCACTGCTAAGAAGTGTTAAGAAATGGCCCAAACATACATTGATTATAATTATTTTCCATCTCTTCTGTCACTTCAATTCAGTGTTTTTTTTTTCCTCTGTGAGGGTAATGTAGCTCTGCTTTGCATTGGCCTGTTTTTCAATTACTGACTTGAAACTGTTGCTAAGCAACGCAGCACGCTGCTGTAACCATGGCGACCTGAAGCTGCCTCCCTAATACTACAATGTTTGTTGTTGCAGAACTACATACTCACCATTGTCTTAAGCCGAATCGGACATCTTTTAACCTGTCTTAGCAGTTCTGTATTCGAAATAAAAAGGCAAGTTTGCCAAACAGATCTTGAATATGTTGATCATTCCATATTTTATCATCCTCTTGCTCTCTTTTTTGTTCCACTAGAATAGAGCAGTCACATTGAACGGGACCTTTGCGTTGGTGAAGCTTTAGTCCCTTGGAGTTTGGGACAGAAAATCACTCAGTAGGTTAAAAATACCTGTGTTTTGGCCTGCTCACCAGCGACCCCTGCTGGTGATTGTGGTCTGAGATAGGGATTGTGGTCTGAGATAGGTGTTGCGGTCATAACCTCACGACTATGTTGTCATTCGGAGTCTTCAAATCTTTAAATTTGAGCCATGTTATCAAAAACTTTGATTCATCGTGGTTTATACAGCGCTTAAATCATCGCCGTTGTACTGCTCGTTCTGCGGATGGTCGTAATTGGTGTATTTTAGCATCTACTGCCATCTAGTGGCCTAACAGGCGCTTTGCACAAACGCGATGTCATGCTCGTTTCTGTGCTGTTCAGCTCAGTTTCTGCCGAAAACAAGAATTTAGTTGGATATGACCGAGTGACCGAGAGTAGTGAAAGAATATCTTGTCAATTATGATTTATCTTAATCGGAATCTTGGGCTTTTTGGCCGAATGCCGTCATACCATCCTCTTGTAGTACTGCTTTTCATGGCTCACGAGCAATATTGGCCGAAGGACTGGGATTATAGGGCACAGCCATGGCTGATCCTCGGAACTGCACATTTCACTGGCACGCAAATACTCAGAGCAGGGTCGTAGTATGGGGCAGGGGTGCTTCAGCATCTGGCCTTTGGCCTGAAGTATTGAACCCCTCCTCCATTCGGTGTTGCAAATGAACCACGCAAAATATTCCCAAGAGGAACCCTTCCTCCACCCCGTTGGCGAAAATTTATCAATGCCCCCCCCCTCCCCCTCCTGCAAAATATACCGGCCGGCC